GTGCCTTCATCTAAGTACACTTGTTAAGTAAAAAGTATTTGTGCTTTACTTGCTGTACTTATACTGGTCTGGTCTCTGGTTAACTACGAGTATTTGTTTTGCTGCTAGAGTTTCACAGTTTGAAAACCTATGATTGACCACGGTTGACCTCCCAGTAAACTAAACGAGTGAAGAGTTCTATATCAACAGATCGATTATTCCTCTTGTTAACTGGGAGTTAAGCTGAGGTAAAATATAGCAGGTCTATTATTCATTTACCAGAAAGAGACACGTGTGGCGCTCTCCCCTGAGGTTATTTTGTGTCCTTATTCACTGTCACTTCTTGATCCAATTGCGTGTCCATTCTTATCATTACGTATTGTGTCACTCTTTGTTCTTCCTTCTCTCCTATTTATTCATCATTACGCTTGTTGATCACCAATTGTTGTGGCATCAATGTATCTCTCCACTTTTATGATGGTTCTTTTCAATGTCTATATCTTCCTTTCATTCTCTCTTCTCTTCTATTCTTGACGTAAACGTTCTCCCTTTTTCTCTTGTTTGCATATATAAACGTGTGCTCTTTATCAGAATGAAGTGATTAGCGATATGAAGAAGTTGAATAGAGCATAATATCATTAGAAATAATACTTCTTCTACATAAAAAATTGTTACAACATGCTGGTCCATCAGATCGATTTTTTAATTGACATTACTTTTCGAGAGCAAAGTCTGAAATTTTCCTATAAATTGAATCTTTGATATTCTAACTTCAGAGTTTCTCCTTTCATATCACAACTATTTACATACCTTTCATTTCCGGGTATGCCTCGCGAAAAGTATTGGAAGGATCTTCTGATGATTGATCTGTAGCACAGCGAATTTCTAGATTATTCATTCCAAATTTATGCGACCATCGGAAGAAAACTGGTACCACGCTGCAATCTTTATTAATCATAGCATCGATGATGATACCAACCCCAATTTCATTAGCAAACAACCAGAAGAAAATGTAAGTGTATTTGAATCGACGTTGCTTAACCATTGCTCTCTTTTAATATAAGTTGTGCTTCTATGTATGAATTGAAGAATGAATTAACTGAGATATAAGTGAGCTTGTGACTGAGAGTGAATAAATCCGCTCTTTTCTTCCTTTCTATTTCGATGTCTTGACGCTACACTAATCTTTCATCTAACAGCCCTCTCAATCATCTGTTAAAAAATTTCTCTTTTTCTCTTTCGTTCTCTTGTATCGTCATATGCGACCTCGACATATTGACGAGTGGACTCTATTTTTTTCGAAAAAGAACGAACGAAGAGAACAATATACTGATCGTTGGGTCGATGTCAACAAATCAACGAACTAAAAAGAAATTTATTCGGAGTAGAAGAGATAAAAAACAGTGACATACACATTCACTAATACTGGGAAGAAAAGTAAAAGAGCTGAATGAGAGGGAAGACCAATGATCGTGTATTGTCATAATAAATGAAAAGATAACAGCGACTTTGTATAACATTATTGAAAATTTTATTTTTAGACTAGAATAAGATAAAAAGATAATTATTCGACGTTTCGATGATCTATGACATTATTTCAAGATTTATGAAGATCTTAAAAAATTGTACATTGAATAAAGAAGAAAAGCAAAAGAAAGGGGAAAAGAGAAACAAAAAGAAAAAGGAGGAAAAAAAGAAACGGAAAACCGAAGATACAATAACAAATGACTTTTACATTCCATTAATAATCAGGATTAGGTAGCAGAACTCTCGGTAGACCATCAGGAACAACAAGTAAACTCTAAAAAAAATGGTGTTCTACCGAACTTTGAAGGTTTTGTACTGGTTTATGAAATCATTTTAAGTTCCGTGGGGTGGAAAATGTTTTGTACTGGTTTATGAAACCATTTTAAGTTCCGTGGGATGGAAAAGGTTTCGTAGTCTTCATACTGAGCCTTTTTAAGTTCCAAAAATCGAAGAAAGTTTCGAAGTTTTTCTACGAAACTCTCCAAAAGTTCCATGCACTGTGTACTGAACTTCCGGTGGTTTCGTATCTTTCGTACGAAACCGTTGACAGTTTCGTAGAGTATCTAGAGGTTTCGTAGTAGTTGTAGATCGATGTCATTTTCCCATTTAGAAGTAAGTTAATTTCATTCGATAAATTATTCTTTTTGTGTTTCAGATTCGAATGAGATCTTGATTGTAATGCTAGTTTGTTGGCCTAAATTACTGATTATTTGTTTGCTGTGGATGAATTCGCAATCATGATGTGAAAGTAAGTTTATTGATTTTAGTTGGTAGTTTTTTTAGGAGGATCTATTGAGAGGTTTGAGGTAAATAATAATTTGTCATTTCCTCTCTAAAGAGACAGCCCTTGGAAATGAAAGTTCGCTTTCGAGTTGAGCCTCTGTGTATCAGGTGGTTGTCCGTGCGCTAAGAAAAATTCCTGAATGATGCCTTTCATTAGCTCTTCCCTCGAGGATTATCCTTATGTTACTAGAATTTTGGTTGAATGCTAACGAGGAATCCTACGCAGATATCAATTTGATTTTGAGTTCGAGCCATGCGTATCAGATAGATGTGAGTGAAGTGTGAAAAATTCCAAATGAACGAGGGCTCATAAGTCTTCTTTCGAAAGTTATAACCATTCTCTTTTGAGTTTTAACGTATAGTGCTGGACATATCAGTAAGTGGAATGAGACCATTTCCATTTATGATTTTATGGACGGAACAGTCTATTTATGAGGAGAATGTCCCAAAAGTTTTACTTCAAAACAATGCGTCTTTTCCAGAGACATTAAAGTTCACAAAAAATACAAGATTTCATCATCTTTCGTGAGACACGAGTGTTATTGTTGAACTTGGGGTGTGGGTGTGGGTGTGGGTGTGGGTGTGGGTGTGGGTGTGGGTGTGAGTGTG